GTGCGGTCGAGCATAAACAAAAAGTCAGGGCGGAGAAATCACAAAAGATCTGCAGACATCTCCTTCGGATGCAAAACAATTGATTGAAAAATAATGGTTCGAGTTTGCGACGGTGCACGGTATAAACAAAAAATTGTAGCTTATTGGGATCAAAAGCGTACGAAAGTACAGAGTCTCCTCTTTAAAATGCTATTTTATGCATCTCGATACGATGATTTTTCGCTGAGAGATTCGCATTTGAAGTAAGAATCTGCCTTTTTCTTCAAATGCGAATCTCTCGGCGAAAAATCATCGTATCGAGATGCATAAAAAAGCATTTTAAAGAGGAGACTCTGTACTTTCGTACGCTTTTGATCCCAATAAGCTACAATTTTTTGTTTATACCGTGCACCGTCGCAAACTCGAACCATTATTTTTCAATTTTGCATGCTCGCGCTTTGTCATCCGCCATTTTCAATAAATTTATTTTGCAACATTGAAATAAATTGATTCTTAAAGTAGAGATTTTTAGCTTCATTTCCATATTTTATAGAACTTTCTATCTTTATTATTTACGAAGTTATCGTCAGTTGAAATTTGATGAATTTTTCCCACATTTTCAGTGTACCGCTTTTTTTTCGGGTGAGTGTATATGTAGAATCGAAAATATTAGCATAAAAATCCATTTATTATTTTGTTCGCTGTTACTTGATACTTAATTAATAGGAAAAATTCACGCATCTTGCTTTGAATTTTGCAATCAGGAAATTACATTTTCACCGCTTATTTTCCGCCTAAGGTTGCAACTGGATTCACGAAATCTCCATCACCGTGAGGTCGGTGCACTCCACCGGCATACCTAACGAAAGACTACAGAGATGCGCTATGTTGGAGTCTAAAGTCTTTGTCGATAACCTTCTAAGCGTCGCGTGTTTGCAGGGACCCGCCGAGTACGTAACACAGATTTAATGAGTACAAAAAAAAAAAAGAAGAATCTAATTCGAGTGAATGCATTTGCAGCTCTCCTGTCGTGCAGTCTATCGCTCTCGATATTCTGATATGGGTAGCTTCAATAAGGTTAACGAGATTGCGGAGCGTTCAGAACAGCGTCGAGATAAAGGCTCTTCAATTGGAGACTATACGTTCCGTACAAGGACGATTGTCTAGTTTATTACAAACATGCCTCTTGCACGCTGGCAGGAGTATAGCACACAAATGTGTCAAGTTGATCGTCCTTTGCAGCGGGTGAGTTATTTCATTCTGGTATCGATATGACGACACTGATCGCGCGAAGATTTTACAAAGCTGTGCTTTTCCAGAGGATTTTACAACATAGAGGACTCGCCGGCCCAAACCTTCGACGAGGCTATGCTTTCCGTTTTGGTCAATTTATTGCCATCAATCGTGGAGGTTCACTGGGCTGGTTCATTGAGATGGCTGCAATTGCTCATCACGAGATTTCTGCCGTTGGACAGAAATCACAGTATCGCCCAGAAATGCGTCTCTTTGGTGCAACAGATAGCCACGGAAATATCAAACAGAGTAAATCCTTACCATTTGCTGCTCGCAACAAGGTAAAATGCGCATTCCTCAATTGCACACATGCGGCCCGTTTGTAATTCCTCACGAACTTACGTCATGTTACAGAGTTTTCATTAATACGCACGCTTTCATTGATAATCTTATAGATTCGGTCTATATAACACGCCCTTCGAGACGGAACTCTTCGACTTGGAGCCACCAATGTTACCAAAGTTTAGCTCAATGCCTGTGACGTATGCGTCCGTCGTGGCCGGCGAGCAAACAGGCCCGTCTGTCGCTTCGTCGAGCGCCATACACTCGTCCAAGATAGCGCAGGATGCCATCGATTTGAGGGATCTGCTCACACTGCCCGCGCATCCCGCTAGTGAATTTGTAGTATCTAGCAAATTAAAGGCACTATGCACTAATCAAAATATCAAAGGTCTCCTCGAGGTAATATCGTTTTGTTTGTTCGAATAAAGGCGGTGGCAAGAACGCATCTTTTAATCGTCGTGATACTTGATACAGGTCGAACCGCTTCATTTTACTTGTCACGCCGCTTCCGACGGTTCGAAATTGGAAAAGATCGATCCCGGCATGAGTACAATTAACATCGGGCCGACTCTCTATGACAGTACGGCGACGAACAACAATGGTGTACCTGATATTAAAACGTTACATCATAGCTACGTAAGTGTTTTTGCGTGTAACAAATCTAGCTTAGGATTGTGATATTTTTTTGAGCGATGCGATTCAGATTATTTTGTAACGATAAGAGAACGAATCGCTGTTGAATTGAAGTGTTGCAATAGTAGCAATAATTTTCGCCACCTTAGGTTAGACTCTCGCGCACGTTTTGTCTAACAATAAGATTTGAGTAACGCGCGAGAAAGTGATAGTGTATCTGATAAATCTTGAGGATATTTGTAGAAGAGTAGGCGAGGCGAAGAGTTTATGTTCTCTCGCGATCGCAGTGGCTAATAACATCAACGTTCATAAAATGTGTTTATAAAAACGGCGTGTATACAGTAATAGATGTTTCTAGAGTAAAAGAATTTTCATTTAGATAGAAATATTAATTGTAGAACTTGGATGCCGGATCGCTAGGACCACATGTTCAGGCTAAACCGACAGCTCAGTCGTTAAGTGATCTGCTTAGTATGTATACGGGAAGAGTGCTAAAGAAGCCGTCTACGCAACTATTGCTCACGCCTGATGAACAATCAGACTGTGACGAGGCTAACGATGCGTCCGGCAACAGTCAGACCTGGCATAACACGCAAAACAATATGCCTAGTTCACATGTGTTAAGTTCCATTGTAACGAAAGAAAAGTCATCCGCACAAAATATCAATACCGCTGTAAACAAAGTTGAGGAGAGCAATCCTAAAAAGGTAGATTTTCGTAGACGAAGACACGCACTATATTCTATTTCCCCCCCCCCTTTTTTTTTTAAGTTTAGTAATATATCGTCTTCTTCTGTCGTTCACACTCGCTTGGTTTAATACGTTGATTTTTGATCGAGCTCGCTCACTCGAAAGTTCTTCGTCAGGCGCGGCTGAATGACGTTAAGCGCAAGTTGCATGAATCATATGAAATCTCTCGAATTATCTACTCGATGTTAGTTTTTATCCTTGCATATAATATCGTTGTTTATACATAGGTTTTTCTTTTCTTCTCTCTCGTTTTCTTATTTATTCACACAAGAAACGTCACCAATTAGTACTCACAATAACCACCACCATGTAAACGATTGTTTGCATTTTTTTATGTGTGCTAGCAGCTGACACAGTTTCAGTTCTCGTTTGTACACTGGCTTTATTATTTGACGCAATTAAGGCTAGTTATTACGCCAATTTTTGATGTATTGAGTAAAATCTCACCTCATCATGTATAGTAACCCTTTCTATATTCCAACACATTCGAAACGCGAGAATTGTCTTTGCCGTGATGATGATTGTCGCGATCAAAATACAAAATAGCCATTCCACTTATACATTTTTTCGCAAATGCATTTGGGAAGTGTAAGCTGTGAGAGAAAGAGAGAGAGAGAGAAAGAGAACGAGAGCGAGAGAAAGGGAGGAAGCCTCTTATTTCGCTGGTGATTAATCCATTATAAATGTTGCAGCGGGAAGATATTATGTATCCATGGGGCAGATTATTGTGCTGGCCGCCACAGCAAGCGTTAGTCGTCGAACGAATGCATTCGGGAGCCCGTCGATTCGTTATTTTGGACTTTGGGTCACCTGTATTGTTGACCGATTTGATGATTCCCTCGTGCAACGATCTGGTATCACTGTCCATAGACATTTGGACGAAAAACGAGGAAACAGATGGCACTCGTCTTATTGTCGCTGGTGATATAGGAAGTAAGCCGTTGATTGTCTGTGACCTCCAACCGCCTCCTGTATGCAGATATCTCAAGGTAACATACCTTTACACAGTGCGAAGTTTCGGATACTATTTTTTTTTTTTCATGGTTAATGTAAGGTGGATATTAATTGATAGCGTTATAGAGCGAATCCATCGATATATCAATTGGTTCTCACTTTTCTATCTGTAAACTAAAATGAATTTTACACCGTTGTCAGATTACTACAATAGGACGCTACGGAATGTCCACAACTACATGTAAAATACCGTTAGGAGTGTTTTATGGACATATGGTGGTTTTGCCCGGAGAGGATTATTCAGAGCTAAGCGACTCTTCATCGTTCGATGCCAACATTTTTGATCCTTCTTTACAAGTTACCATTGATACGCAATGTAATATATTGTCGGCTTTAGCGGAGGATGTTCAATGCAGGTATTGCAATAAGAACGCTATATATACGGAAGAAAAAATTATTAATAATTGTTTATTCATATGATATGGTCAAATTTTTAATTGGGGTGATTTTTCTATCGTCCTGTAACATCAATCATTTGTCTTTTGAATGTTTTATTATCAATTATCAATGCTATTTCTGTGCAACATTTTTTAATGACATTTACATTTCTTTATATTTTAAGAACATATTAAATATTCATTTATTTATATAAAATTTTTAACGATTCTTTGCCTAATCATAAATGTGTGACTACTATAATAAATGATGTGTTTATTTCTTTACGGTGTTTATAGAAGTATTTTCTTTTTACTTCCAGATTTAGTTTAGCTACTGAAAGGTTAAAAACATTATTAGATCCATTGCTATGTTCGGAAACTCCTAATGTTATGCACATGCAAAATTATCTTTGTTACAACAAAATGCCTAATGAAAGTAAAGAACAGCCATCGGCGAAGATACTGTCAACATATCAGGTAAATTATGAACATATTGGGTTGTATAATAAAAGTAATTTCGGATTGTGTTATTGTTTTTTACGCAGCACGCTTTTGTGAACAAATACGGGCGAGACTTGATCACACAATTTTAACAAACGAATATTTAATTTACATGTTAATTAAACTACGCTTTACTTGACAAAAGAAATGAGCAGACTTATTTGAAAAATCCGAAATTATCACACAATTCAATAATTTTCCATCGGTTTGACAAATAAGAACAAGTTTCAAGAAACAATTTTTTTGACGCGTACTTATCTCTGCTATAGGAATGTATCATGTTCCAACATCAATTGAATGTTGTGCGAGGCGTCTGGCGACGTCTCGAGTCGTGGAGAGGCTTGCGAAACATGCCAACGGCATCTTTCACGAATGCACCCAGTGACAAATTACGAGTGCTCGGAGAAACCCTACTTGACATTTTGCTGTACACCGTGTACGAGATTGGTCCAGTGCCTAGTGTATGTAAATGCAGTAATGCTGTTATCGTACATTTTAAACGCCCGTTCGAATAACGAAACCAATTTGTGTTGTTTTTTTTTGCAACAACCCTCCAAATATATTGATCTTTGTTTTCTTTTTAATTTAGGTGTACCGACCAACATCGTTACATGAAGTTTTCACTCCAACGATTTGTGAGAAATTTTTTCACTCGATATGCGTTGTCACGCCAGCTCCACGTTTACAGCTTCACGCTGCTGCGCTTTTAGCTGGCATGGCGGGACATCAGCCATGGTGGGGCAACTTTTTGTCCAATACTCTGATTAATCTTTATTCGTCATCGTCCTCTCATATTTTTCCGCAAGACAGGTGAGACTTGAGATGTTTACCATTTTCCCGAATGTGATTAAATTTTCGTTTTTTTTTTTATGGCAGTCATATTTATTTATGTCAGAAGCGCTTAATTATATAAATTTTTTTCTTGCAAAATACGTCGAAATAAATTAGCTTTTCTATATGCTATACATTTTGCTAATATAAATTGTTAAAATATATTAAAAATTTCATTTTTTTTTTTAATTTTGCAAGTGCACGTATAATTCTGTTTTCCACATTTATTCGATTTAAAGAAACAATTAAAATTATTACCTTTTTTTAAATTAAAATTTTGTAATTTTCTACTCAATCCCAAGTTTTTTTTTCTTAATTTAATGGCATATTTGATTGCATATTTCATATTTTCAGTTCATTTTGCGCAGCTTGTAAAATAGGCAATCAAATAATATGATCTGATTTTATGAGAAGTGTACTTAAAACTAAATTTGATTTTCAGGGTGTTTATTTTATTAACATTCCTTGGGCGGAAATCGTTAATAGCCGGAGGAAACAAGTCTTCAGTTATTGAAGCCATGGTTCGTACATTGAGCAAATTACTGGCTCCTCTTACGAATGCGCAGCCATCCGAGTCCAGTCGACTAGACATCACCTTAATAGGTTGGGTATTATTGTTTCTGTCAGTGTGTCTAGACACCATCACTCCACCATCCTGCTTCGAGGACAATCATGAAAAAACTAGAGAACAAGGTAATTTTTATGTGACTATATGTATCTGTAATTTACTATTTTTTTTCCTGGCGACTAATATTTGCTTAAAGGTATTTTAGGAAATTAAAGAAAAAGTAATTCTGTTGCATATATGACATTAAAAAGAATATTTTTTAACATATGTTAGTTTAACGAGATATTTCTTTTTTGCAATTTTTATATGTTGAAATTTTTTTGGTATGTTTTGAAATTTTATTAAAACTGCTACAAATACATTGCAAATTAACGAGAAATCCGTCAAAAAAGCGAATGTAGATAAAGTCGTTTTTATTTAAATAATCTTTTGATTTAATATATTCCATAATATTGGATATTGTTATACTTTCAGAAAGATCGAAATATTCTCTGATTTGTGTTTCTTTATTTTACATTGTAAATTCTATTGCAATATGCAAAATGTCTAAAAATTTGTGAATCAAAATATGAACTGATGAAAGCAAAACGACATATGATAATTATCTGAGCATTCTGAAATAATATCTTTACATCTTTTGTTTCGGAAGGTTTATTTTCTCGTTGGGAGTTTATTCAAGGAGAATCGGCTATGCAAAGGAGATACGTCAATGCTAATCGATCATCAGCCTCTCGTAGCTACCGCAAAAGATTGCAGAAGCGCTTGTTGCATCATAAGCAGCAACTTCATGAATTAGAACAAGCGAAAAAATCTGCGGCATCTAAAGTACGTATAAATTTATCTTTTAAATGGATTAAAATATGTAGAAATACTTTTATCACTTTCATTCGATTTTACATTAAACGGAAAAATAAATATAAATGCGTGTGCGATATGTTTAGGGACTGATGACTTTATCATCTGACGCCGCCACATTGTACAATAAAGTTGAAGCGACCTTGAAGGTTCAAGAGCGTTACTTCAAGAAGACGCTCAAGCAACATTCCACAAAACATTACAAGGATGTCATCAAGAGACACGAGGCACTGCTTCGTAGTCCGTGTTGCAGTCAACCGCGATCCAGCACTAGGTTCGTTTCCCGATTGTCGTCTCACTCTTTCAAATTTCAGTACGTTGTAGAGAAATAATCACCGTGTCTCTTATTATGCGTGATTTGCAGCAAATCGGACGTTATGGATCTGGAAGTCGAATACAATATAACAAACTTGTCCCATCAGTATGTCTTGCCAGTGGCGCGTGGTCTCGTTGCCCTCATTTTACATAATTCGGCTAATGTGGACATATTTTTGTTGGCTTGCAAGGTAAGGTTTACTAATTTCGAAAATAAATAAATCAAATAATCATATCGATGTGCTATAAATTTTTATTAAGTTTGCTACAGGGAGTAAATCGCTGATCAAAGATGTATAAACTAATTTTCTGTTTTTGCATATTATTGCAGAGTTTTTCAACTAATGCCGATTAACGTTTTCTACTAATGCCTGAGCAATAATTATATAAATTTTATTTACTTTAGCCATTTTATCTAATTTTTTAATTAGTTTGTGCATTTATTCAGTTTATAATCTCAGATCTTTTTTATGCGATGAAAGAAAAGAAAATGTTTTTCAAACTTTGTTTCATTATTTTACATTTTCTTCAAGAAATTTTAAAATTACAATGCTAAATAATGCTGAAATTATTGCAATTTACTTTACGAAAAAAGAAAATACGATTGATCTGAAAATCTAAGAGAATCTGTACTTATCAAATTTTAAATTAGAAAAAGGAAAGTTTTGCAAACTTGATTTATATAAAACATTGCATGCGCATATTTTATATAATTTAAAACCCACAGCGCTTTATTTTTTTACTTTGTAATCTGGTTTACTTTTGTAATCTTTGTAATTTATATGTAAAGTCTGATATTTATATATATCATATAATGATGTATTGCTTGCAAATGGAAACAGATTTTTATACAAATTAAGAACCAGAATTTTATCTATTCAATTATATTCGGCATCGTAATTATTTTGGCTAATCTAATTATTGACAGTAAAGTATATTTTATAATTTTATAATAAGTTTGATAATTATGCTATATCTAATGGGACATAATGACATATCTGATTTATCGTGTATAGGTAGTCGCTCGGTTAGTGGTATCCACACGTCCTGCTATCGACTTGTGCGAGCTTATGACCGAAGAACAACTCTTAAAATTGATCAGATTAGCAACGGATACATCTGACGCTGCTTGGTCATCGCACGCAGTTTCTTGTCTTTTGATGGACTTATTGGAAGGTAAAAGAGATAAATTACAATTTATCTCCTTTATAAAACATAAGTTTTGCCAGCTGACGTTATAAAATGCAGAAATTTGTTTCTCAAGTCCGAATTTTATGCCAGTAGACGTGTCATAAGACTGATGGTTAAAACGCATTTTAAGCTTTACACGTTTAAGCGCATGAATCTTCTGTCATATCAAACGTCACAGAGGAAAAATTTTTTATTTTTATATTTAGTTTTATATTTTTCCATCATTTGCATCCATTAATATAGATTATTAAAATTTAAACAAACGGTTTCTTATAAGGAAGAGAGATACGAGTGCTTGTCTCTTTATATTGGCGAGTGTGCTTTATATCTTTTTATTTTACATAAAAAATTCTTTGTGAAATCACATTTAACATTATTTACAAACGCGTAAAATGAAATGTTCAAATTTGAATTTCAAATAAGATGCGGTGTATAATTT